AGTACACGGCTCGGAACACCCTCATGTATTATCCGACAGGTGAGGCGTGCAGGTTTGCAGGAGAGATGTTGGTTCTAGATGAGTTGATTCCAAACTGTTCTTACAACAGGTCTGTAGATGACTGAGCAGTTCTTACTGGTGATACTCTACTTCTTCTGTGAAGCTCAGACATGTAAAGTTTTTTAAAAAAGTTGGTGGGGTTGTTTTTTCCTTCTTTGCATTTTGCTCCTTTTCCTCTGATGGCGAAGTTTGATCATGTTCTATTTGTCACTGAGAAGCTCATTATCTGTATTACAGAAGCACTTGTTTTCAGACACCAAAGCTCTTCCCAGTTTGCTCTTATTTATGAGCAGTCTCTTGTCATCTTTATTCTTTCTTTGCTTCTGCTCAAAGACTGTCCCTTGGGACTGTTGGTCCCTTGGTTGCTATAGAAAGCTACATCACTTTGTAAACACAGTTTTCTTTGGCTATAAATGTACGGTTAATTTCTGCAAACCAGTGAAGTAGACAAAATAAAGTCATTTTGTCTGTTTTTTTTATTTGTTGCTAAAACTGATATTAATTTATAGATTTCAGATGTTACAAAATACATATCTAGTGCAAGTTTTAATTTGCTGGAGATAATCACTGCAATTGCTGATGGATTCTGTGTTGTGTAGGAACGTGTGGTAAATGTCATGTTGGTCAGAAGCTCTAGAGCACCCTGCCTAGTGTTACCTGAGCCCTTTCCTAAAGGATGTTTTGCTTTTCAAGGTGTGCCTGATGAGGATGACGTATTTAAGAAGCCCAGGGAAGTTGTCCATCGAAACACACGTTTTGTGAAGGACCCTTTTAGCCAAGCTGTGAGCAAATCGCAGCTCCAGCAAGCTGCAGCCCTCAACGCCCAGGTTGGATAACTTTACTTGTTCTGACTAAAACCTTGTTAAACTCTGCCCTGGTGTTGTGCATCGGTCTGGAGAACTGTGTGCATGCTAGACACAGCTGACTCGCACCGTTCTCCACGTGAGTGGCATTGTCTTTTATTTCAGTACAAACAAGGCAAAGTGGGACCAGATGGGAAAGAGCTGATACCCCAAGACTCTCCAAAAGTGAATGGATATGGATTTGTGTCTACCCCTTCTCCTGCCCCTGGTAAGAGGGTTTTCTTAGCTCTTCTGATGTAAGAGGACTGCTACGCACTTATTTTGATGCTCTGTTTGTTCAACACTGGGGTATCATTGTTGGTTTAGACAAGGAGGTAAGCCTTCTGTCTGTGTGTGTCTCATGAGCTGGTGACTTCCCTGTGTACCATGTGTGCCAGTTTGTCACACAGTTGTGCAGTGCTTGAGTCCTAGCCTAGTACACTGGCAGGAGAGGTCACGCTGTACCGGAGAGGCTCTGAGCAAGCTGCTATACCACTACATAGGGATCATCTAGAGGGCAGAGCCTTCCTAGGCACCTGGAATGATGTGGCTGCTTGTTTTGTCCCTGGTAACACCTCTCTAATGTAAATACAGGAATTTGAACCTTTCACAAACATTAACCTTCCAATTAGTTTGGTTGCTTGCTTTGCAAAATGGGGAGCACTCGTGACAATGTGCCCAGTGGTTTGCTGAGTGATGGTTCTGCCTGGCTCATAGGGATGTGGTGTATCTCACCTTCACAGTCTAGCGTACTGTCTTCCTCCAGGGCTACTGCTTTCTAGGCTCTTTCTTTGTCTGAATACACGGGTGTGTTAGAATCCTTTTGTTCGGATGTATTAGCCGCAGGATATTTTCAGTTAGAACAAATTGATTAGTTTTCTTCAGTTGAAATAGGGTATCTGAATTTTTAGCTGTTCTTCACCAGCTGTTAATTGTTTTCCTGTCTTTTGTCATTATGCCAAAAGAACATACTGAGGCTTTTCCTCTGGAAAGCCTGTAGGTGGCATTTGGAGCGCACCACCTCTTTCCACTGTAGATGCCTCTTCCAAACCCTGGACAGCAGGGTTTTCTAGCCCAGTGGCTTAGTTGGGCTTTTTGAATCTATTCTGCAGTTGTAGCTGTTAGGCAGGGTGCACTCGCTGTTGGGCACATGCTAGCCTCAAGATGAATTGAGGTTACATTTGGCTGTTATCTTAAGTCCTCTGCTCGTTTCCCTGCTTTTAAATAGTTCTCCATAGTTAAAGGAGCCTCATACAGTGGCAGAGGGGAAGACTAGTACTGTAGAGGAAAAATTGAAAGTGTACTAAGCAAAAGCTCACCAAACGGAGAATGAAACAGTTGGACAGACCATGCTTGGGTGTTGTAGCCTAGAGGGTGACCCAGCCACAGGCAGTCCTGTGAGTTTAAGGTCACACTCTTTTTAATGGGAACCCCGTGTTACTCTTCAGCATGGGCTGTGGTTTCCTTTGCTGTGCAGGAGCTCCTTTGCATGTTGATGAATTTGCTGCATTTCATAATTAGCTGCTTTGGATTTTTTGTGGTGAACAAATAGCAAAATGTCTTGCATGACCATGACTCTTAAAATTTGTGTTTAGGTGTGAATGAGTCTCCTTTTATGACCTGGGGTGAAATCGAAAGCACCCCTTTGCGTCTGGAAGGGTCAGAGACACCGTACGTGGACAGAACACCTGGACCAGCCTTCAAGGTATTTTATGTCAGGAGTCAGCCTGTCATTCTTCTGGCTGGGGGGTGTAGGACTAACAAGGGAAAGGCAAATGAGTAACTAATAGATTAACATTGTTGTGGGAACGTGACACATCTCTGGGCCGTGTTCCCAGTCCTTGAGACTAACGATCTAGGTTCTGCTTGGAGGGTGGAGGTGGACATGGCTCCACATGAAAGCTACTTGCTGGGGATCCCTGGGGTGGAACACACACTGACAGGAGAATGAAGCTCAGTATTTGATGATGGGCCCAGACAGAGGGGCTTTCAGTGGAGGCTGAAGAAACACCCGATTTCTCTGATTTTAGTGTACGGCTAGAAATTTTAGGATTTCCCTCTGTCTTGATCTGTCACAGCCTGAGGCAGGTGTATCACTTGAGAGTGGAAAAGGGGCTCTGGCTTTGCTAATGGCACCTGACCCTGCAATGCCGCCTGTCTCCTGATGGTAGAACTGAATGTGAGCTGTTTGAGGCTCTTGGTTTAAGAAAGGTGTAATTTGCTGTATGTGCCTTTGTTCTGGCAGGCTCTGAAGCCCTTGACTGGTTCTCTTGCTGTTTAGCAATGTCTGTGTTTGCCTGAGAGCTGGCTGGCTAGGGGCCAGGCTGGGCAAGACACAGGTGACATTGTTTGTCTAGGAGAGACAGCAGGAGGAAATGCCAGAGGTAATGGCTGCTTCCTTGGCTGAACTGGTTTTACCATATTTGTTGCTTGCTAAGGCCGGTTGAAGGGCCCTCTGTGTCCTCTCTGGCTTTCATATAGCAGCAGAGAGGTGGGGGCTGACCCCCCTTCTCCCCAGTTTAGATCCCTGTTAGCTGGAATCCAACTGTGAAGGTGCTTTGACTCATTTATGCAGCACTCGAGTGCCTTGGTGAGTGAACTGTGTGGTGCATTTATAGATCCTGGAGCCCGGGCGCCGGGAGAGGCTAGGACTCAAGATGGCCAATGAAGTGGCAGCTAAAAACCGAGCAAAGAAGCAGGAAGCGCTTCGAAAAGTGACCGAAAACTTGGCCAGGTGAGACTTCTGTTCTAACAGCAGAACTGAGGGTCGGTATTTTCTGATGTGAGTTAAATCAATGTATGTAGAAAGGGAGGAATGATAAGAGTACTGGACGCGGGAGGAGGTACAGTCAAACCAGAAGGTTTTAGAAATTAAAAAAATTAATTCCTGGGGGAGGTGGCTGGTGGCTGTCACTGATACTCCCTCTTGCCCGCATTACTGTCTGCCCTACAGCCACCCAGCGATGCATCTGGATCGGTGTCTTGCCTCGTGGCAAAGAGGAGATGTGATAAAGCTTGCTTGGCTGGGTTACGGCCGGCACAGGCTCAGAGGAGAAGGCAGGCAGTGCCACTTCAGGTTTGGGAGGGTTGTAGGAGGATTTTCTGTCATTTGCCTCTCTAGAGAGACAGGCTGCATTACCTGCAGGCCGAATGACTTCTGCAGCCAGTGGGTCTGGTCTGGGGGGGAGTGGATCCGAAGCTTGCCTGTGGAAGCATTGATGCTCTTCCTGATAAATGGAGATTTTTACTGTAAAGTCTTTTACAATTCTATTCCAGCCTCACTCCGAAAGGACTAAGCCCAGCGATGTCACCAGCTTTGCAAAGATTAGTAAACAGGACTGCGAGTAAATACACCGACAGAGCCCTGCGAGCCAGCTATACTCCTTCCCCAGCCCACACAGGAACTCCTGGTTACAAGACCCCAGCAAGTGGGCCTCACACACCCACAAGCACCCCACAGTCCAGGACAGTGTCTCAGACGCCGTCATCTCAGGATACTACATCGATCACAGACAATTTACTGCAGCTTCCTAAAAGAAGGAAGGTGTCTGATTTCTTGTGAACGTTCTGGTCACCAGCAAGGTGACGGTGAACTGGCTGTGCTCGTTGCCTGCACATGGGATGTTGTGAGCCATCTGTAGTAAGGGGTGTCTGGATACAGCTGCCAGAACAAAAGCCAGCCGTAACAAGATTTGGGACCAGCACTGCTCTACGCTAATATAGCAAAAATAGCCTGTGATGTGCTTTTTTGGAAGCAGAGTATCTCCTGCTGTGGTGTAACTTCCTTTTGAACTGCATGGGTGGATGCACAGGGCTGCAGCGGCAGAGAAGGTTCTGGACTCTTGGAAACCAGTGATAATTTTTTAGAGGCATATTTCTCTTTTTAAGATGGCCATGCATTTAAATACTTTTCTGTACAGATATGTCTATTTATAAAATGTGGTGAAACTTTCTAAAAGGTTAAAGTGGACTTTCTTCCAGGTTGTTTAAGTTCTTTGGTCTTGTACTTTGCAGAAGAGGGGATACAACCATGTATATATTGAGACATGACCCAGAATTTGAGAGGGCTTCTCTTTAAAGTGGAGTTTAAACATGCTCTTAAAGGTACAGGCAGCCTGTCAAGAGAGTTGGTATGTTATGGAAACGGTATGCATGCAGTTCACACTTCCTAATAACTTGCCTTCTTACTGAATCCAAAACATGGTCGATGCACACGTGAACTCTGCAGCTGGTGTGGTCAGGAACCTGAGAAACGTGAGCGTAAGTGCTGTTAAGTATCAGCAGCACTGAAAGAAACTTTCCAGTGCGTCTTGACAGTAACTTTTCATCCCTGTGAACATAGCAGAGACAGGTCTTTTGGGAATAACGATGTTAAGCTGTTTATTCACCTCAGCAGATGTATAGCAACATAAGACAGTACTTTGTGGAGCAAAAGATGAGAACTCTTGCTGAAATGGTCGAGAGAAGCTGAAGTTGAGAACCAGCAGTTCACAAGTTAAACCAGCTTTGTGATATTGTTGAAACCAGCCATCCTTAAGAGGCTCCTGTTTTCTTCTTTCCCCCTTCCGCAGAATGGGATGTGACTTGCTGCTCGTGCTCAGGCTTTTCTTCACGCAGGTTTTGGGAACACTCACCCTCTTCTGCAGCTGGCGGAGGGGAAGGGATCGTGGATTTCGGAGTCTGCAGCCATGAGTGTTTCAAAACTTCATCTATGCGCAACCTCTGAGACACGTTGGGCTGGAGCAAGCGGTAAATGAGGTCCTTGCAGTCTACAGTCAGGTATTTTGAGCTGGGGAAAGGAATCCTGTGTTGCTTCTGCATACGGATCATTTTCCTGACATTGGAATCGTCAAACGGCATTAGAGCGTAGACCATTGCGTACAGGATGACACCCAGGCTCCATATGTCAGAAATCTGGGGGTCACAAGGAATGCCCTGTAGCACTTCTGGGGCTGCATACGCAGCAGATCCACAGAAGGTTTTGCTGAGAATAATTCTGCTGTTTTCATCCCGGGACAAGGCTTTGGAAAAGCCAAAGTCTGACAGCTTGATGTTGAGGTCCTCATCGAGAAGGATGTTCTCACATTTCAGGTCTCGGTGAGCGAAGTCCAGGTCGTGGCAATGCTTGATGGCAGAAGCCAACTGCTGAAACTTGGTGCGAGCTATGTCCTCTTCCATAGCTCCTGTCGTCTTGATGTAGTCCAGGAGGTCTCCCTTTTCCCCCAGCTCCATCACAATGTACACTCGCCCAGATGATGTCTCAAAAATATCATGTGCTTTGATGATTGACGGGTGGTGCAAATGCCTCAAGGCCTCTATTTCCCTGTGGAGAAATCTTTCCAGGAAGTCCCGAGGAGTTTGCCTCTTGTCGATTATCTTGATGGCCACGTTGCGTTTCAGCCGGTCACAGTAGGCAGATTTCACTTTGCCGTAAGAGCCCTCTCCGAGCGTCTTGCTCAGGCTATAGCCTTTCTTCCGAAGCACGGCAGCATCATCCATGGTGGGAGAGCTGGCGGGAGCTGCGTAATTTTGTGCTGGTGCGCATCACGCGTGGTGGCAGGAGCAGTGCCCGCGTGCCATGCTGGTGGCCCGGTGCTGGGGAGGTGGGCGGGTGGGCACCCCAGCGCTGGCTTCCGTGTGATGTCATAGACACTGCCTCTGCACCGGGCACTCGGAAGAACCTTTCAGTCCTTTTATAAAGCTACTGGAGGATGTCATCCAGGGGAAAACTTAACATCAGGTCGCTAAGAGGCATCAGTTGTGCTCTTCATAAAATGATCTTTATATTTAGTTTTGCCAACTGGATGGAAGTGTAGGTTAAATGTTTTTCTTTCCTAAAATGTACCTAAGGATTTTTATAACTATTCACGTTGGCTGAAATTTCGTCTGTTGGCTTTTGTATGTCTCGGATGATCTTTCACGTCCCACGTGGTCTTCCTTCTGGTGTATGTTGGCCTTGCTCCTCGTCGGCCAGCTTCCCTCAGAAGGGATGGGATGCTGCTTGTCTTCACCGGGGCTGTGTTCAGGAAGTGGTTTGGGGTTTTTTTTCCTCCTGGGCTTGTTAGGGGAAGGAGGTGGCTTCTCAAGTTCCTTTCCTTCTTCACCCAGCCCCTCGGTTTCATAGCTCTGGTGATGGGCTGCCTCTGCGGGCTCTGCAGCTGTGTTTTTTCTTAAACCCTTCCTCAGTGGGGGAGTTTTTTGACTTCCAGCTTCTGGTGTTCTTCAGAAAGGGTTACACCAGCACCTTCCTCGGAAAGGCTCTCAGGATTACTGCTTTGCATGTTGATTGCTTCGCTGTAATCAGTCTGGGGCTTTTTTGCGTTGATTTCGGCTTATTCAGATTTGTTTTACAGCTCTGCATGTGTGATTCCGAAGGCTCTATGGTGTTCATAACCACAATGCAGGGGGGCTGGGGACAATCCTGCTTTGTCCACCAGCTCAACTGACAGTGTCATTCTGAAGAAGTCGCACTTACGACAGCCCCGTGGGCTTTTGTTTGGGTTTTTCCTCCCATTCTTTGAAACTTTTGGCTCATTTTTGTAATCAGCCAAAAACATGAAGAGCACTTTTAACCATACGTAGCCTGCACTCGGAGCTGCAGTTGCTCCAGTATGAGCTGACCTTAGAGCATGGGATGGTGTGATTCAGGCTGGAGAAGCACCCAGCGCCGTTTAGCAGGAAGCAGGCATAGCCAGGTAAATGTGTACACTTCTTGCACCACACCTGAGTACAAGACAGCCTGTGTAACCCTTGGCAGTCTCGACATTTGCTATAATCAGGTGATGTTTTAGTGAGGGAACATCCATGGAGAATCTTACGCAGCTCTCTGAGCAGTGCCTGCAGCCTCCTGGGGTGTTGGACACTGTGTTTGTCTTGGTGGAGAGTTTCCTCTTGGTGCTGTTTCCACTGCCACTTGCAAAACTCGTGTCTCTCTGCAAAACCCTTCCAAGGGACTCGATTTTTATAGCATGCTTTGGAAAAATCAGTTTATCCACATGGCATTGCTAAGAATTGGGACTGCCAGAAATTAGTATTTTTGGCTTTTTTCTAGTTCAGAAATAATTGCAGACTAAGCTTTTTCTTTAAGCAAAAGAATAGTTCTCAGGTACTCATGAATTAATGTGAAGGGAATCCATTTATGAACATTCCCATGCTTTCAGAGATGTTATTTAAGGACTGAACTGGCTAAATAATAATGAAGTTCTTGAGTATTTAAAAAAATTATTTTGTAATGGCCACTCGTTCTGCTGATCTCCATGAAGTGTAGGAGCTCTGTTAGGGTATGTGGGCAGATGGTCAGGCCCCGGCCTGCTGTTTGAGTCGGTCCAGGAGGAAGGAATAGATGTGACACGAGAGATGGCTGGGTGAAGCAGGTAACGGGTAGCTGCCGGACCACTATAGAGAGGACGCAGGGAAATGGCTGAGCTTCACAGATGGTTGAGGAGGAGCACGGGGATCAGCTGGGGAATGGAACCTGGAGAGGTAACCCAGGGAGAGGTTTTGGAAACACCAAATTTGGCTACAGGTGTAGCAAGATTGGCCCCAGTGGGGAAAAAAGTAATTGAAGGAGGGTTATTCTGGGAGGAGATGAGGGTTAGAGAAGGAAATGGAGAAGAACAAGCATGGGAACGTGGAGAGGAGTTGGGATATGAACTGGATGTGTGGAAGCAGGCTGTGGTCAGCATGCATGTCTCAGGCCTGGTGCTGATCCCCTCCATCTTCCTACTGGATGACTCCTACCCACTTGCGGTGTCCAGAAGCTCTGTCTTCTGGATATAAAGGCTGGGTAGTGTTTGAGGGACCATGGATGGGGTGGGTCAGGAGCAGGACAGGGTGTGCATCTTCCGTGACACTTCAAACTGGTCGTGCCCAGACCAAAGATGTAACTGGAATAACAGAGAAGTGAATATGACACTTGAGAATGATTAGTTCTGTGTTGTGCAATTAATCTTAAAAGCAGATTGCATTAAATATCCTGTGGGGTCGTGTTGGTTTTGTTTGCTTTCAAGTGAATTAACCTAGACAGCCCTGCTAAAATCAGTCTCGATTCTGCAAGACTGAAGGGCCTTCACATGTTTGCTGGGAATATAATTTATTTTCAATCAAATGGTATAAAACTGGATCTCTTGAAGGGGATGTAGTGCTCTTCAGATGGGCTATTCCTGTAATGCCTACTGTAATGTCTGGTCTCTTCTTCCTGCTGCAGTTCAGCCCCTGCTATCTGTGATTAGGGAATCAGTAAACTCTTCATTGCCAGATATTTTTGCTGCTGTAGCACGAGCAAATAATGTGCCTTACAGGGCCAAATCCAGTGTGAAAAACCCACATTAGTTATTGACGACTTGTCATTTCCACCTCCCCTCTTTTTCAGAGAGTTATTTTCCTTTTGCTGTTCCTCTGTATCTGCATTTTCTGATGTGTCAGGTCCTAGCACACTTCCTCCCACAGCCCAAATAGGACCTGGACCTCTCCTAATGCTGCAGAAACGGGTGGCAGGGCTAGCTGCGGTGGGTTACTGGCTGCTTGCAAGACATCTTTGAAAACTGGGGCCGAGTGGTGTGATGTGGGTCTGTAACATCACACGCAGAGCCCTTGGGTGCTTGCACGAACAGTCTGGGGCTTGTCTCCTTCCTCCATGCAGAAAAAAGATAAGAGACCAGGAGGGATTTTGTTCATGTAGGTGGACAGAAAAGAGGGGAAATTCTGGATGATTTTGGAATCATGAGGATATAATCCATAGAATCAGAATGGTTTGGGTTGGAAGGGACCTTAAAGACCATCCAGTTCCAGCCCCCTGCCATGGGCAGGGACACCTTCCACTAGACCAGGTTGCTCCAAGCCTCATCCAGCCTGGCCTTGGACACTTCCAGGGATGGGGCATCCACAGCTTCTCTGGGCAACCTGTCCCAGTGCCTCACCACCCTCTCTGGGAAGAACTTCCTGATATCTAATCTAAATTTCTGCGCTTTCAGGTTAAACCCATTATCCCTTGTCCTGTCACTGCAGGCCCTTGTAAAAAGTCCCCCCCAGCTTCCTTGTAGCCCCTTCAGGCACTAGAAGCTATAAGGCTGAACATCCCGACTCTCCCAGCCTGTCCCCATAGCAGAGGTGCTTCAGCCCTCGAATCATCTTTGTGGCCTCCTCTGGACTCGCTCCAACAGGTCCATGTCCTTCTGCTGTTGGGAGCCCTAGCCCTGGATGCAGTACTCCAGGTGGGGTCTTATGAGAGTGACATAGAAGGGGAGAACCCTCTCCCTCGACCTGCTGGCCACGTTGCTCATGATGCAGCCCAGGATGTGGTTGGCTTTCTGGTACATCCCAGGACCGTTTCCCAGACAATATCCCAACTTCTGTCCATGCTTGTTCCCCTCCCTTTCTCTAAACCTCCTCTGATCACTTTTTCCCATTTGGCCTAGTCTTGCTACATCTCTTATTGGAAAGAAATCTGCAGGAACTGCTGGTGAAGAGCCAGCAAGGATGAGGAATGAGCTGCTGTAACCTGGCTGGAGAAGGCAGGCTCTGATGCCTTAAAGAAGCCACATGCCAAGTGCACCTGAGATGACAGCTTCTCTTTTCCTTGCAGAACGTGGGTCAGAAAATGCTGAGCAGCAGACAAGCAGCAACACAGGGTTGGGCAAACAGCCCAGACAGAGCAGCCAGGAGAGCCGTGCGAGCAGGAGGCTGCATTCCAGCTTCATTTTGCTTATCCTCTATGACCTGTGTGAACTGTGTGTTGTAGCAGGGACATGAGTCTGCACGGGGAACCAGCTTGGGGCTCGGTGTCTTCGAAGTCCCAGAGCGTTTCACCTTCAGGGCCAAGAGCGTTTCACTGAGGCCGAGGTAGCCACCCCTGCCATGGTGCAGGGGCTGCAGCTTTGCACCCACCTGAAAGCAGGGTCCAGTGAGGGCTGGGGTTCTGCACTGCCTTCTACTTCCCCGATTATTTAGTTCAGAAGGGAAGCTGTGGTTGGAGATAATTTGTTGTTTTGAAGGACTGGACTGTTTCTCGATAAAAATAAAGGAAATGGATCTACTTGCTCAGGAGAGGGGGAGCTGGAGTAATTCACACTTCCTCATATTTGCATATGTCATCTCAATCCCTGCTCAGTGCAGCTGGCCCCGCAGCAGCCAGCTTCAAACCCTGGTTCAGAGTCAGGCCAGGATGAGAGCCAGGTTTGGCTCTGCTCCACGAGAGCCCCTTCCCTTTGCTCCTCCTGGGCTTTTCTGGGCACAGGTGATCTGTCCTTGCTGGTTAGAGAAACACTTGTTCCCAGTAAGAAGCTGGGAATCCTGGGATGTGCCAGCTCATCCATGCCCTGGGCAGAGG